TTAGGGCATTGTCTACAAGGGTCAGGGGGGGAGGGAATAGTGTCCAGACGTAGAAATGGAGGACATGAACACCGGACATAGTTGCTGAGATATGTGTAATTCATTTAGGTCCGAAACTAAATTCCGACACATTTCTGGTTATTGAGAGATTCTGATGTATACAAATTTCCGAGTAACAATAATAACAGATTTTGTGAAAATTCGTTTTGCTTATTTGCTTTCTAGATAATTTCAGATTTTCAGAACATTTAGAATTGGTCGAAAATTTAGCGACTGATCCAAATTCTGTGTGAAGATTAGCTTGTTGTTAAGGAGAGGGTCGACCGCCACGTCTTTAACAACCAATGTATCATCAGCTGTCAGTGGTGTCCCCACTGACAGCTGAATGTAGAAAAAAAATTGCCGGCAATGAAAAATTAGGAGAAAAAAATGGCGTGGGCCCCCCATCCATACCAGGCCCCTTGGGTCTGGTATGGATTTTAAGAGAAACCCTACACCATAATGAGAGAAAAAAACAGCATGGGAAGAAGATGCTGACATACTTGTTGCCTAGAAGACATCCTGACACTGTCCCGACACTTTGCCTCCTTGTGGGTGGGGCTGACTTGCCCAGTGCACACAAGGCCTTTTGTTCATTCTTGCTCTTCTCCTTCCTCCGGACTCTCTGGTGTACGCAATTTCTAATGCCTGAGACCAGACGGGGCCGTGTTCATGTGCCTTCAACATTATGGTGGCACCCCAACTTAGCAAGCGAGCCCTACACCCCAGTCTCCCTGTATCAGAACCTGAAGCTGTCACACAGGTACCTCCTGGTCCCACAATACATATACCTGTGCAAGATGCAACATTTTGAAGGAGACAGCATATTGTAGTGTCCAGTTCCATCAGCCCATCTAGACTCTGCCACTAAATTCCCAGTGACAAAAGCGGGTCCTGCCAGGAACCTATGCACAAGCCTAATTAACTCTTCTGTACCATATGGATAGGTCCCAAAGGTCTCCGATGCACGGGTCCTGGTTACTGGGGCACCGACCACTCAGAAGGTAGGCCACGAACTGCTCATTTTACATAAGACCATTCACCCTGCCCGGTACATTTCACCTACTGTCTGGCTGTCATATCCGCCTCTTTTGATTGTTGCCCCTAGCAACAGCATGTTACTACTTCACCTGTGTGTGCATTAGAGCCCTGTTCTTCGATATGCCATTACCACCAGGCACCCCTTTAAGTAACTTCAGACCAGGCATGATGTTTCAAAAGCTTTACTGGAATAATGTGAGATAACAGTTCAATATCAAGTGCAGTCTTCCCCTAACTACAGGCTTGCACACTTCCCCGGCATACCTGCTTAGGAAAGAGTCCATCACTGAAGTCTTCTGGGAGGATTGCAAGTTCCCTGAGCCTGCCAACGTTTCCATTGCTTTTGCCAGCTTCACTACACCTGAAAGCTTTCAGCAGCATCTTCACAACAAATGCTAGAACTTGGATTCAGTGACTAGCACCTGGCATCCCCTAGTTTGCCAACATGTCCATTGCTTGAGCATACACCAGAGCTTGACAGTGATTACAGTGTACATTGCCTATCCTACAGCAACATTGTGACCAGCAGATCAGCAGAGAACATTTCTTCACTGCTGCAAAAGTGGTAATTGAGCACTGGGAAGTATAATGATAGAAATGATAATAGTAATGATAAAATGATAAAAAAGCCGCTAGCATAAAGGCAACCTCTAAACCCAATATAGAAATATGTAAAATAAATATGCAGTGCTAATATTGATAAATCCGGTGAAGACAAGTAATAACACATAAGTTAGATAACTCAATCCTTATAGTGATCAAGCAAAGTGATTATGTGCAGGTATTCAAAAGTCCATGGTCAATGATAATGGTGACTCTTGTGTACTTGTGAATGTACAAACCATGCACTAACCAGATAGCGCATTGATTGCGCATGGAGCAATTAAGACACGCTCCTGGTGCTCTGAACTTGTAATACCAGGCAGATGTCATCCGCAGGTCAGCCACTAGATGTCCTCAGTAATCATTCCACCAGGGCCATCAACAGCAGGAGGAGGGGAAGTCATATATCAATCCAAATCCTCAGTACCTTCAAAAACGGGCTCACATGGAAATAATGAGCCCCAAGAAAGCTTCTAATAGTGTAGTAGTTCTTTAATCGTCAAAAATCCAGCATAAAACAAGTAAATCAAAACTTACATCAGGATCTGCTAGGGCCACCAGTCAGGATGGCATTGTGGTATATGCACACAGGTCAGGGGCACCTCTCTGACGCGTTTCGTGTAAAAACACTTCCTTAACATTACTAAGATATGCATGAATGTGTTGGACCTTGATAGAATAATTGAGTTGTTATATTTCTATTTGTTCTAGATTGGGAAAAGTAAGATAAACAGATCTTTATAGTCTACAGAAACATTTGGGCATGTAGACGTGGTGAAGACAACTTGCTGAAGTTCAAACCGAGCATCAGAATGGGGAAGAAAGGGGATTTGAATGACTTTGAACGTGGTATGGTTGTTGGTGCCAGATGAGCTGGTCTGAGTATTTAAAAAACTGCTGATCTACTTGGATTTTCACGCACAACCATCTCTAGGGTTATTATTATTATACAGCGTTTCTATAGCGCTAAAAGGTTTGCTCGGCGCTGTACATACAGTAACAAAACAAAACACAAGGGGGTCAAGGGCCCTGCTCTTTCGAGCTTACAATCTAGGAGGGAGGGGATAGTGGTACAGGAGGAAGTGGCTGTGGGGGATGGAGTGGTAGGAGGAGTGGAGGAGATCAGCTGTTAGGTGAGGGCGGGGTAGGCTTCCCTGAAGAGATGGGTTTTCAGGGTGCGCCTAAAGGTGAGGAGGGTAGGAGACAGTCTGATGGATTGGGGTAATGAGTTCCAGAGGATGGGGGAAGTCCTGGAGAAGTCCTGCAGTCGGGCGTGGGAGGTGGAGACCAGGGAGCTAGAAAGTAGGTCTTGTGAGGAGCGAAGAGTACGGGTTGGGTGGTATTTGGGTATCAGGTCAGTGAGGTAGTTTGGGGCAGCGTTATGAATGGCTTTGTATGTCTGTGTTAGTAGTTTGAATTTAATGTGTTGGGCAATCAGGAGCCAGTGGAGGAAATGACAGAGGGGGGGGGTGGCAGAAGTGGAGCGGTTGGTAAGGTGGATAAGTCTGGCCGCTTAGTTCAGGATAGACTGAAGCGGGGATAGTCTGTGATGAGGTAGGCCGGTGAGAAGGGAGTTGCAGTAGTCCAGACGTGAGATAATAAGGGAGTGAACGAGTTGTTTTGTAGTGTCTGGGGTTAGGAACATACGTATTTTGGAGATGAGGGTTTAGAGAGAATGGTCCAAAAAGGAGAAAATATCCAGTGAGTGGCAGCTGTGTGGAGGAAAATGCCTGGTTGATGTCAGAGGAGAATGGGCAGACTGGTTCGAGATGATAGAAAAGCAACAGTAACTCATGTCAATATGGACCAAAACTGAGGAATGTGTCCAACACCTTGTTGAATCTACGCCACGAAGAATTAAGGCATTGCTGAAGGCAAAGGGCATGCAACCCGATACTTGCAAGATTTACCTAATAAAGTGGCCAGTGAGTGTATAGGTATTTAAATATATAGGCTTGGTTTTTTCTGTACACTCTAGCAACATGTGGTAGTAATTAGTCATGAATTGGCTAGCTTTCCTTCCCCATCTCTGTTAGTGAAAAAGATAGTTTCACTATGAAGTGGCTCATAAGAGTCCAAGCTTCTTTTTTACAATGAGTTAAGAAAGTTTTATACTGCAATTTTTCCTCATTAGGATATTAATATAAGATGTGACTTTACATTAAGTGATATATGAACTTTTAGGAGAATTATATACATCCATAGATATGATTAGGTATGTGTAACACTCCCCATCACCCCTTTTATTGAATGTCAGCGTAGCTCTGGCTAAGGGCCCTAAGTATTGAATTTCAGAAGCCAGTCACCCATTGAGAGCAAAGCTGAAGGTTTGTTCTATACATTTGTTACTAGATATTATTGTGGGACCAGAAGTCACAGAAGAAATAAACTATATTGCCAAAAGTATTGGGATGCCTGCCTTCACGCACATGAATTTTAATGGCATCCCAGTCTTAGTCTGTAGGGTTCAATATTGAGTTGGCCCACCCTTCGTAGATATAACAGCTTCAGCTCTTCTGGGAAGGCTGTCCACAAGGTTTAGGAGGGTGTCTATGGGAATGTTTGACCATTCTTCCAGAAGCACATTTGTGAGGTCAGGCACTGATGTCGGACGAGAAGGCCTGGCTCGCAGTCTCCATTCTAATTCATCCCAAAGGTGTTCTGTTGGGTTGATATCAGGACTCTGTGCAGTCCAGTCAAGTTCTTCCACCCCAAACTCGCTCATCCATGTCTTTATGGACCTTCCTTTGTGCACTGGTGCGCAGTCATGCTGGAACAGGAAGGGGCCATCCCCAAACTGTTCCCACAAACTTGGGAGCATGAAATTGTCCAAAATGTCTTTGCATGCTTACACCTTAAGAGTTCCCTTCACTGGAACTAAGGGGCCAAGCCCAACCCCTTAAAAACAACCCCACGCCATAATCCCCCCTCCACCAAACTTTACACTTGGCACAATGCAGTCAGGTAAGTATCGTTCTCCTGGCAACTGCCAAACCCAGACACATCCAGTGATTGGTCACTTCAGAGAACACGTCTCCACTGCTCTAGAGTCCAGTGGCGACGTGCTTTATGCCACTGCATCCGACACTTTGCATTGCACTTGAAGATGTAAGGCTTGGATCAGGGGTGGACTGACAACTCATGGGGCACCCGAGCAATAGGGGATCATGGGGCCCTTGTGTCCTTGCCCAAACTCAAAAAAGCCTATGAAAAAGGTACCAGGGGCATCTCATGGGGCCCCCTACTGATCCGGGCCCTCGAGCAGTGCCCGAGTTTCCAAATGGTCAGTCCGCACCTGGCTTGGATGCAGCTGCTCGGCCATGGAAACCCATTCCATGCAGCTCTCTATGAACTGTTGTGCTAATCTTGAGGCCACATGAAATTTGGAAGTCTTTAGCTATTGTCTCTGCAGACAGTTGACAACTTCTGTGCACTGTGCACTTCAGCATACGCTGACTCGGTCATTTTGTCCTACCAAAATGGCCTACCACTTGGTGGCTGAGTAGCTGTTGCTCTCAGTTGCTTCCACTTTGTTATAATACCACTAACAGTTGACCGTGGAATATTTAGTAGCAAGGTAATTTCACGGATAGACTTATTGCACAGGTGGCAACCTATCACGGGACCACGCTTGAATTCACTGAGCTCCTGAGAACGACCAATTCTTTCAAAAATGTTTGTAGAAGCAGTCTGCATGACTAGGTGCTTGATTTTATACACCTGTGGCCATGGAGGTGATTGGAACACCTGAATCCAATGATGTGGAGGGGTGTCCCAATACTTTTGGCAATACAGTGTGTGTGTGTGTATATATATATATATATATATATATATATATATATATATATATATACATATATACACACACACACTCTGGTTTATAGAAGTAAGATTGAACCAAAACCTTTATATAATTTAGCATAGGAAAAACGTCAAGGTATTCTTGTTAGTTTGTGTTTTGTTATCAGACATTCCCCGTCCGTATGACATCATATGTTGTCCTGCACTTTGAGCTGAGATATCTGGATGATGCCTGCAACTACAGACATCATCCGGATATCTTTTTTTTTTTTCAGCTGATGATTCCCTGTGTTGTAAAAGCCATCCTAGCGGCGGGTTAGCCGCTGGATTGCTTTTACAAGCAGCTAGAGGAGACACCTCCTCTCTGCCCCCCAACAGCGCCTTTCCATACTGTCCTATGTGATCGCTGGTTTACCATAGATCTCTATAATCTTGGGAGGCTGGAAGCAATGTCATGACATCACTTCTGGCTCTGGCAGATGTAAACACTGCCATTTTTTGCTAGAAAGGCTGAGATGATTTTTTTTTGTTAGATCTCATGCTTTCCAGCATAGAGGAGAGATGTGGGGTCTCTTAGACCCCCGATCTCTGCAAAAAGAAGACCTGTCATGCCATATTCCTATTACAAGGGATGTTTACATTTCCTGTAATAGGAATAAAAGTGATAAAACAAAATTAAAGAGACAGTGTAAAAAATATAAAAATATTTAAAGCGCCCCTGTCCCTTCTCGCATGCAGAAGTGAACACACACTTAGGTCATGCTCGCATATGTAAACAGCGTTTGAACCACACATGTGAGGTATTGCCATGAACGTTATAGCAAGAGCAATAATTCTAGCACTAGACCTCCTCTGTAAGTCTAAACTGGTAATCTGTAAAAAAAAATTAAAAATGCCGCCTATGGAGATTATTAAGTACCGTAGTTTGGTGCCATTCCATGAGTTTGAGGAATTTTAAAAAGCTTTGTTGGGTATCTAATTACTCATTGTAACATCATCTTTTACCAAAAAAATTGGTGTATATATTGTGTTTTCTTGCATTAAAATTCATGAAAGTGTATTTTTTTCCCAAAAAATTGCATTTGAAAAATTGCTGTGTAAATACCGTGTGACAAAGAATTGCAACAACCGCCATTTTATTCTCTAGGGCCTCCGCTAAAATATATATATATATAATGTTTTGGGGTGGTGAGTAATTTCCTACCAAAAAAATTATTCTTACAGTGAGTAACAGAAGTATTTGAACACCCTGCGATTTTGCAAGTTCTCCCACTTAGAAATCATGGAGGGGTCTGAAATTCACATTTTAGGTGTATTCCCACTCTGAGAGACAGAATTAAAAAAATAATTCAGGAAATCACATTGTATGATTTTTAAAGAATTTATTTGTCTTGCACTGCTGAGCATAAGTATTTGAACACCTGAGAAAATCAGTGTTAATATTTGGTACAGAAGCCTTTGTTTGCAATTACAGAGGTCAGACATTTCCAGTAGTTCTTGACCAGGTTTGCACACACTGCAACAGGGATTTTGGCCCACTCCTCCACACAGATCTCCTCTAGATCTGTCAGGTTTCGGGGCTGTCGCTGAGCAACACAGAGTTTCAGCTCCCTTCAAAATGTTCTATTGGATTTAGGCCTGGAGACTGGCTAGGCCACTCCAGAACCTTGATATGCTTCTTACGGAGCCACTGCTTGGTTATCCTGGCCGTGTGCTTCAGGTCATTGTCATGTTGGAAGACCCAGCCACGGCCCATCTTCAATGCTCTGACTGAGGGAAGGAGGTTGATGCTCAAAATCTCACAATAAATGGCCCCATTCATCCTCTCCTTAATACAGAGCAGTCGTCCTGTCACCTTCGCAGAAAAGCACCCCCAAAGCATGATGTTACCACCCCCATGCTTCACAGTAGGGATGGTGTTCTTCGGATGCAACTCATCCTTCTTTTTCCTCCAAACACGACGAGTGACGTTTAGACCAAAAAGTTCTACTTTGGTCTCATCTGACCACATGACTTTCTCCCATGCCTCCTCTGGATCATCCAGATGGTTATTGGCAAACTTCAGACGGGCCTGGACATGTGATGACTTGAGCAGGGGAACCTTCCGAGCAATGCATAATTGGAAACCATGACGGCGTAGTGTTCTACCGACAGTGACCTTTGAAACTGTGGTCCAGCTCTCTTCTTGTCATTGAACAGCTCCTCCATTGTAGTTCTGGGCTGATTTCTCACCTTTTTTATCAGTGATACCCCACGAGGTGAGATCTTGCATGGAGCCCCAGTCCCAGAGAGACTGACAGTTGTCTTTAGCCTCTTCCATTTTCTAACAATTGCTCCAACAGTTGATCTATTTTCACCAAGCTGCTTGGCAATTGCCCCGTAGCCCTTTCCAGCCTTGTGGAGGTCCACAATTTTTGTCTCTGGTGTCTTTTGACAGCTCTTTGGTCTTGCACATGGTAGTAGTTGGCGTCTGACTGACTGTGGGGTGGACAGGTGTCTTTAAAGAGCTCAGACAGGTGCTAGTAAGTTAGATTAATGAGTGGAGTAGAGGTGGACTTTTTAAAGGCACAGTAACAGGTCTTTGAGAGCCAGAATTTTTGCTGTTTCTTAGGTGTTCACATACTTATGTTCAGCAGTGCAAGACAAATAAATTCTTTAAAATTCATACAATGTGATTTCCTGAATTTTCTTTTTTAATTCTGTCTCTCAGAGTGGGAATGCACCTACAATGTGAATTTCAGACCCCTCAATGATTTCTAAGTGGGAGAACTTGCAAAATCACAGGGTGTTCAAATACTTCTGTTCCTCACTGTATATGTGGGAGAGGAATGGCAGAATTGGCCAGGGTGGGAAGTAGTTACCAGAAGCTGATTGTAGATCAGATCTCTATTGTTAGAAATTGGATGAAGCAGTTACGGTTTACACAAGTATGAATTAAGTATTCTGCTAGGAGTTGCCTTCGTGTCTGTCATGTCTTCAGTGATCGATGAGTTATACTTTTTTATAATAACATGCAAATTAGATTGGAATAATTTGAAAAAATGTGATAAACACAATTACACATTTAGAAGAACATGTGGTTATATGCTGGTCAAACACACCTGAATGAAAAAATGCACATGGCATGAAGACAATGATCACGTCAATAGCAACTGCAAAGCCTAGTTATTCTAGTTTGACCACTTGAGTAAAAGCCTGTAATACCATTTCATTGCCAAGTCATCTTTAGTTTTCAATGCTGTGATATTTTGACTGACAATTGCTCCATCATACAACATTGTACCCAATTGAATTTTATATCATTCTTTGAAACAGACAGATTTTGATAGTATTTAAAGTAGAACTATAAAGATTTCTGTTGACTTCCTGTCCCATAGACAAACAAGAAGTGAGAGGAAATCCTCTAAATTATGGGAATGCCTTGGGGACCCCCAGGTCACCAGAAATAGTGTCCCCATTGGAGGATTTCTCCTTTATTATTTTTCTGGGGATAACCCAAAATGTGGGAATTTCTTTCACTTTCAGCGATGGTTAACATATAAATAGAGAGGGTGAATCTCCCTAAAGGGTACAGACAGCAATAAAAACCTAATAGGTGCTCTAGTCCATCTCAACTCTGTCCAAAACTAAAATTAAATGCTTTGCCTTTAGTAAAACTTTTAATAACTACATTTTTTTAATTTTCTTACTATAAAAAGGAAAAAAGACCATAAACAAAAAAAAAAAGAAGAAAACAAGAAACCTGCCAGGAAAGTACAACCCTCAAAATTACCCTATTTTTGGAAAGTAGATACCCCAAGGTGGTTTAATTTTTTGTCACAATTTTTTGGAAATGAAGGAACATTCGGTATCGGGTGAAGGGGTGGGAGGGTTAAAACACGGAGCTTGGTAATGATAAAAAGGAAAAAAGACCATAAAAAAAAAAAAAGAAGAAAATAAAAAACCTGCCAGGAAGGTACCACCCGCAAAATTACCCCATTTTTGGAAAGTAGATACCCCAAGGTGGCTTAATCTTTAGTCAAAGTTTTTTGGAAATGAAGGAACATTCGGTATCAGGAGAAGGGATGGGGGGGGTTAAAACACGGATCTTGGTAATGATGCAGTAGATACCATACATCAGGTCATACTCAGAGGAAGGAGGAAGTGAAGGGGTAGATGTACAGGTCACATACAGTGAGAGGATGGAGATAAAGGGGTTAATATGCAGATGTGCAGGATATAGAAGGTGAAGGGGCTAATATCGAGACAGGCTGGAAATCAGGTGTGTGTGAAAGGGTTAGAAAAAACATTTGCATTTCCCCTACCCGCGCTGCCATTCGAGGCCGTGGCTGTCAATCACCGGGTCCTGGCTGGTGATTACTTGCCGGCGCCTGGTGATTGCTGAGCATCTCCGACGGGGGGGGGGGGAGAACTGTTTGTAAACAATACAGTTCTCTCCCCTGTCAGCTCCTGCACACTGTCTGCATGGCTGTGCGCAGCACAGTCATGCATAGCAGTGTGCTTACAGTAAAGCACAAACACACAGCCCTTAGTAAGACAGCACACAGTTGACCCTTTGATGGCCCCACATGTTAACCCCTTCCTGCCCAGTGCCATTAGTACAGTGTCAGTGCTTTTTATTACATTGATCACTGTATTGATGTCATTGGGGATGTCAGTGACACCATGTCAGTTCCCCCCCAGTGTCAGAATGCCTGCCGCAGTCCCGCTATAAGTCACTGATCGCCGCCATTACTAGTAAAAATTTAATTTTAAAAACCCAGTATATATACCGCCATTTGTAAACTCTATAAATTGCATGTAAACCAATTAATTTACACGTGTTGGGATTTTGGTTTAGCAAAGACATGTAATAGAATACATTTTGCCTAAATTTATGACAAGATTTTTTTTTT